GGCAATCAGCTGATAGTGTTTTTACTTATGAAACTGTTCGATGATTATTTGAGAATATCAAGCAACACTGGATTGTGCATTGTCGACAAAACTATATTTAAATTTTATTGTTTTGCGAGCATATTTGCAAGCCTATTTACCAATGTTTTATCACTTAAAATTGATTTTTTCTTGCTTATTTTCTTCGGCCCTGGTTATCACTGACATTCGTTTTTATACTGAGAGCTTTGTTAATAGACTTAAAATACAAATATCAAAATGTTTACGAAACGATAAATATTTAAAAAGCAACATATACAAATAAAGGAAATAATAAAAACATAAAAGAAATATATTAAATTATCAGATGAAAACTGTTTGAAAAGTCCTTAACATTGTTTACATCAATTTTTTTAATATGGTCGAATCAATTAAATTTTTTTAAATAATAAATTTCGTCCTGTGTCACCACAGTCTGCTACGCATCTTAAAATGGTTGAAAATTTGCGGGTTTGGTGTTGGGTTTTTCTGATTATAAAATATTTAAGCTTCTATCTGCATTAAATACTCAACCTTCATGTAGGAAACTATCCACATAAGTATTTCATACTTAACCTTCAACATTTAGATTTTATAAAAATTTTTTAGCTTGAGATTTTTTCTTAAACATAGTTTTGTGGTAGACCTATGGTCTAGCTGAAGTACCATACAAAACTGTTATTTATTCCGTCCGGATGTGTAGGTTAGGTTAGGTTGATGTAGCGTTAAGTTCAAAAGACCTACTCACTTAGACCTTGCAGGTCCATTGTGATACCACTGTGAAACATGGGACAGCCGCAAGCGTGCTCAACTGTTTTTTTCTTTATCTCTGCAACTTCTGCAACATTCATGGGAGAATATTCCTAATCTCGAATCGTGACTCCCTGTCCTCTTTTGAGAGGCTGAGCAGTTTAAATCTTTAGAGTAGTCGATCTTTTGGTTATAGCTACTCAAAGTGTGAAGTATAGAAGCGCCTTCTTTTTAGTCTAAGCGTCGAAGTGGCGACCACGGGTTTTCCTACCAGATTTACTGGAGCCAATCGGACTATTATTTTGTTGCAGCCAAGATATGCACCCTCCTCTGTGTAGCAAAAAATGTGCGGCCAACAATGCAAGGAAAGCTTAACGTCGAAAAGCTGCAATCACAACAGACGGCCAATTTATTCGCCACTCGACTTTCACACTTGCTCTCTAAGAGCACTCTTCAACAATCCGACATACGCGAGCAGTGGAACCACATTTCTCGCTCATTAAGTACCGCCGCCGAAGAAGTAGTCGGATTTCAACGAGCCCGAAAGAACAACTGGTACGATGAGTAGTGTTAAGTAGCTGCAGAGAATCAATAGGCCGCCTACAAGGCCACGTTGTGATCGGGCGCATCGCAAGCCATACGAGACCGTTATAGGGAAGTGAGATGTATTTGCAGCAATAAGAAGAGAGACAGGGAAACGCCGACAGGAAAAAGGCCCGACAATTTTATCAGAGAGTTAGGCGACTTACGGAAGGTTTCAAGACCAGTGCCAGCTCCTGTAAAATCTAAAATCCAAAATGAGGCATTCAATAAGTAGATATTTCTCCACGTATTTAAATTTGAACTTACATTTATTTTTTTTAACTTTTTCTGCTTACTTACATACATATATAAAACATTTATTTTAGCATGTAAAGCTCACAATGAATTTATGTATATTTATGTAGTCTGCAACAAATTTGAAGCATGTACACATGAAGACATGTACGTTTACTTAAAATATATTTTTGCAATAATATCATTTAAGGCATTATTCCCTAAAATGTCACAATCATTTCGTTCATAGCTTCTAAATAATCGTAGTTGGTATTTTCGTACTTTCAACTGAACATATTATTTTATACATACATAGCTACATAGCAAGCTACGGCATTATTCTAACTTTAAGATCGACGAAGTCTCGACTTTTATTTGAATTCTATAACTAAAATGTCGTCTAAAAATAAATATGAACATAGCTTAAAATAAAACTTAGCTTAAAATATATCTAACGTATACTAGAAATACAGTTGTGTTCATAAATAAAACTTAAATAGCTGTTAACTGTACATGATAACTGTTATATTCGACCTATTTCAAGCGCTTTAAACAAAATTACATACTAGCAATTCACTTAAAAACAGAAAAATCCTAAGGCATTATCTCAATCTGTTCAACAATGAAAAAAAAAATAAACTAATGCGTGTGGTCAGTACGCTCTTTCGATTCATATCTACATACATACATATATAGTTCGTTAATCTAGGAACTTATTAATATATTAGGCTTTAGTCTCTGTTTTACGCCGACTCCGAACGGCTATTGTATATTTATGAGAAGCTGATTTTTATGGCAGAAATAAACTTAGAGGTTTGCCATTGCCTGCCGAGGGGCCACCGCTATTAGAAAAAAAATGGTGTTTTTATTTTTTGTTGTTGGGTTGAACCGGGCTTGAACCCAGGCCCTGCGGAATGGTAGAGCGCACTGCTAACCGCTACACCACAACAGCCGCTAATGAATAAACTTAACTGGAACTAACCGATAACAGTTTTATATGGACCGAATAGTATGTGGGTACATATGAACACAAATTCAGAATGCCGACTCTGCCTTGAGAACGATGAAACTATGAAGCAAATTCTTTGTGGTTGGCCGGCCTTTACTAGACAAAGATTAATTCATTTTAAAGCTCCTATTTGTGAATTCGCTTTCCAGAGCCCTTTCAAGATTCATCACGGAAGCCGAAGGTATCTTGGGCACACTGGGCTAGGAACTCGCTTTAGGCATGCAAAAGATCCTTCAGGTTGCAATGCCTCTTGTTGTGCTACATTTTATCACTTAAGTAACTAATTAGCGCATTGGTAATCGAAATACAACAAAATAAGTTTTCATTTTCTTTGTTGGTGGAATTGAAGCGACGATCGTCAAACTCTCTTCTAGAAGAGTCATACATCATTCACTATTCTCTAAGCTTTTTTTGTATCTAGCCTGCACAGTGCAACCAAACAAAAAAAAACGGCCGAAAAAAGCGTTTGTGTTCAGAGTTCATGTACAGCGCTGCCAATTATATGAACACAACTGTATATAGTTCAATGTTTAATTTAAACAATTATTTTTAAATTTGGTACATTTAAATAATTATGCGGTTACATACAGTAACGGGCAAAAATAGTCGAATGATATTTATTTTTAAGTATTCACAATGTTTTTCAAGTAAAATTTTTTTTTATCATTTTTCTATAAAAATATTGTTCACACACAAAAGTGTTGTAACCACAACCATATGAATTAAAGCTTCAAACTTTATGCAAAATTTAGAAAACTTCCAAAAATTTTCTAAAATTTTTCCTAATAAACATTGTGAATATTTAAGATTAAGAGCAGGGACCGAAAATAATGATTGTTTTCAAATATTCAATAAAAAAAGCAAACGCTCCTAAATATCGTAGAACAGTTTCGAGTATATGTATGTTTCTTTATTTCCTGTATGAATCCGTTAGGATTTGAAAATTTCTAAGCGATATCTATAAAAATTATAATTAATACTTACAATTACAGAAACTAAAATTATATATCGAGTTATATTCTTTTGATCAAATATAAAGCTCATTTTTCCAGTGTTATTTTTTCGCTCCGTAATAATAATTATTTTGTGAATTGTTAAGTTTTGATCAAAAGTAGGTAAGCATTATTTAATGATTTTTTTTTGTTTTTTCATTAGAAAAAAAAACAATTATATTTTTAGTTAATTTTTTTTGTCAAAAATAATGATTATTTCTTAAGTATTATTTTTTTGATTCAGAATAAAATTGATTTCTTGAGCATTATAAAATGAATTTAAATAAATATTTTTTGAGCTTTATGGCAGATCGAACAATTCCAAATACCGGACCGCTTTTCTAATAACTGCTTAGCAGTAAATATTTTTTGCTATTCAAAAATTACAAGAAATTTATAGGCATAACATATGCATATGTAAATATGTATTTATTAGTAAAAAATAATGTTGATAAATTTGTTGTAATTTTTTTGTGCATATGTTGAAGAGTGAAAGAAAAAAACACTGTTTACAAAAGCATTGTGGCATTTTGAGTTTTTCAATCTGCAAAAAAAATATAAATAAAAAAAAAATTAAATAATAATAATTTTTATTGCTCAAAGATAAAATAAGGCTCAAGTTTTCAAACTTAAGCAATAATCATTACTTTTGATAAACAAATAAAACTCTTGACATAAAATAATGCTTATTTTTATCAAAAAATAATTCACAAAGTAATCATTATTTTAGAGCGAGAAAATAGCACTTGAAAAATGGGTTTTATTTTTGATCAAAGTAATTATATGATTTTTTTCTAAGCAATACAGTAAAACTCAGAAATTTATTATAAGAATTTATCGACAATTTTTAAAACTTTAAAATAATGATTAAAAATCAATGATGATTACGGTCCCTGCTTAAAACTAAACATTATTCGACCATTTTTTGCCCGTTACTGTACATACAGCGACTTAAAAAATTGGCCACGTACAGAAATTTTTTTTATATATTCACAACGTTTTTCAAATTAATTTTTTTGTTATTTTTCTATAAAAATATTGTCCAAACTTTAACCAAAACTATTTAAACCAAGGTTTCAAACTCTACACAAAATTTAGAAAATTCAACAAATTTTCATCGAAATTTCAAACTTTTTAACCTGAATCTTTAGACATTTTTGGGTATGCCAAACCCATCAAATTTTAATCTAATAAAGTGCAAGTCTTTTTTTTTGCTGCTTTTGCGGATTTTTTATATTTATATATGTGTGTATGTATATATAACAAGTGCATTTCTTAACAAGACATTTTTAAGCAAAAATCACAATGGAATTTCGTTTAACATTTCCTAAGTTTTTTTTTTAAATTTTGCATAAAGTTTAAAGCTTTCATTTACATGGTTTTGGTTAAAGCATGCGCAATATTTTTATAGAAAAATAAAAAATAAAATAAATTTTTAAAAAACATTTTGAATAAATATTTAAATGTAAACATCATTCGACCATTTTTGCCCATTACTGTACATTTATCTATTCAAAATATGTTTGTGTTAAGTATTAATGAGTTATGTAAGTAAGTATTTAGTGCATGAAGTAAACTTAAAAATTAAAAAAAAATATTCGTATGATATAAATACAATACTATTCTTCTGAAATTCTGCGCTTAAGTTTAATACATTGCCTTTTAAAATATCGGTTTTGTCGCTAGGTCTCATTAACTACGATTACATTTTGCTTTCGAGCCTTTCACTTATCAACTTTTTCACTACTCTCAATGATCTCTGTATTGAACATGGCCCTACAGAAATTCACCATACCACGTGAGAGTTTACCATAGCAAGCTGGTTTGTTTCTTCGCGCTATACACAAGTAATAGAAGGGTATGCCAGCTACCGTTATGCCGATACCGACAATGAGATTCATGGGATTTGTAAAGCTGGGCAAAAGCACCAGAGTCAGACAGCATATTATGAAAATTAGAGGCAGTGCCAGGTGCACTTTGATGGGCCGCGGAATGTTGGGCCTGTAAAGAGAGATAATAGAAAAGTTAAATACTCGATTTTAGTTATATAAGAAAAAGTAACTATGGAAATATTTACTTGGAGTGTCGCAACCAAAGCATGCCAGCAATGCTGGCCACCACTGATAGCCACAACATGGCGCTAAAGTAGTTGATCAGAATGTAAACATCGGCAGTGAGTAATGTCAGCAGTGATGTGATGCACTAGAAATGGTAAGATATAGCCTTCATTTAGTTAAAAAAAAATCATGAATATTAGATACAAATTTTTCAAATCCCCTGTACAACTTACCGAAAATATCAGCGATGGTATGGGCGTTTGCTGTTTAATGTGGAATAGCGTGAAGAATTTTGGTAAATGCCCTTCTTGTGCACCGGTCGCAAATAGACGCGCCGAAGTGAATAGTACACCATTGACGCCGCCAAAAGTGCTTAGCGCTACAAATATGGGCACCATGAAGGCGAGTGGTCCGAAAACGCGATTACCGAATGTGACTGCGACTGCTAGTGAACTGAGCATTTCGGTTTTCGACACCACCACAAAGTAGGCCAAATTCACAAGTACATAAATGCCGGTGACCAACGGCATGGCGATCCAAATGGCACGTGGAAGATTTCTGGAAAGGAAAAGTAGAAAATATAGGAAACAAAATTTAATACTTTTATCACTGAGTGTATTTACATATAAAGGACACTATTTTATTTAAATTATGAGAGATTCGGAGTTTTTCCTTCCGCTCAAGTGTTTTCAGGCTTATAATAATAATATTTTAGTGCTTTGCTTTTTGCTAAATGTATGGCCGAGCTTCTCTTCCGATCTATGCCATGCGCCCTGATGTTGTCACATAAAGGGGAGGGACCTACAGTTTTACGCCGACTCCATACGGCAATTGGTTTTAAAGAGAAGCTTTTTCAAGGCAGAAACACACACACTCGGAGGTTTCCCACTTTTCCTGATATAGATGCTGCTCGGACCAGTGATCGAACCCGGGTCCTACGGAGTAGAAGTACGCACCTCAAAGCAGTCCGCTACAGCAGAAGCCCCCAGGCTTAAGGCATCTAAAAGGCTGCGAATGACAAGTAAGGGTAATACCTCCATTTCAGACAGAGCCATTGAAAGACGCTGTGACTGTCAAATCCCGAAGATCAACATTTGGCACAATTTCGAAGTTCACATCCCCGGCAGATGGATAATGGATAAGATATTCCCCTATTTGAGGATGATTCCGAAATGAACATAGAAGTAGGTTCTGCGTTTCCTCTTCTTCCAGCAACTTCCATTGGAGAAAGCTTCCAGACTGCTGTATTTCCTACCATAACACTTATCTTCTTGGTAGACAGTAAAGCATCGAACCAGGCACGTATGCCGGCGACGACAAACAAAATCCCTCAAATTTCGTAAGCATTACACCGTGAAAAACTGAAAGATAAAATCCAACGTCCAATTGAGATATTCGTGCGGCAGAGTAGTAAAGATTATTTTGAGGGATTCCCTGCCATCTCAGCATGGAAGGCACCCGATTCAATGGGCAGGGAAAATGACTGATTGACTGACTCACAACTAGCCTGAGTAGATACCCGACTCTATGCATTCTGATATGCAGAGGCATACGCGCCTTAGATTAGATTAGATTAATATTTAGAGTAGGGATCAGAGGATCAGTTTTAAAAAAGCTCTATTTGGATAGGTCTTATTTAAACAACGTATTTGCTTTTAGGTACGATGATCCTAGGAATCGAAGTCCAGGCTTAGATAGAGATAGATTTGTAGATGACTAAATGCACGGGTATGTCAGAACAAGAGACACCGCGACCTGAAAGATCTTTAGTATCTCTAAAGAATGTACATAACCCAATATGACCAATACACTCTCGGCTTCCCTAATAAGTCGGAAGAGTAGTCGACTGGTAGTCGAATTCCTTATTTCTAAGGGTTTGGCCAAGTAAGTAAATCTTTTTCTAGTCAAGGCTTAACAGTCACAAAGAATGTGTTCGGTAGTTTTCTTGTCCTCAAGGCAAAACCGCGATTCCGAATCTCCGACTGGACTTTGTCAGAGATTTACAGTGACACAATGTGCCATGTTGTTTCCTATCCCTTGTGACCCAACATTCAGATTAGAGTGAAAAAATACCCCATTTGACAAGCGCTCTATTAGCTTGAAGTGGCTTGTAAAAATTATTGTAAAACAATTCGTTATTCAAGGCTAGTAAGGTGTGGGGTGCTTAAGTTAATACCCCCATTCTAGATGCGATGAGTATCAAAAGTTGAAGACTCCAAACTTTCGCATAAAATGCTGGTCTAATAACAAGCCACTGAAAAGGATTACGTTGTTGTAAAACTCGGCGGAATTAAGAGGTCAGCTACTGTTGGCCCAACGGGTGCAATGAGATCCAATGGAGGCTCTGACCATTATGTTCGATTTACTGGCCTTTAGATACTGGAAAAACGTGCCTAAAAAGACTCGCATCTGATAAAAAAGCACTACCCACCACCGTGGTATACCAAAGATCTGAACAAAACTCAAACCTTCAAAACTCAAAATTCACAGCCGCAGTAGCTGAATTCGGGCAGAGACCCAATGTTAGGTCGCAACTAGTAGAGGTGTAGAGAGTTCGCCTCAATATCTGATCGTGATTACGCTTAGAGAAGTGCGCTCCAGCACTTAAGACGTCCCATGCGTTTGCAGGGTGGTGCAGAGAAACAAAAAGCAGAACTACCAAAATTTGCTAACCGAAACCTAATCAGAGATGGAACCGTGCAGGATATTATAGAAATAGCAGATGGATCAGGAGCACCTACAACCCACTTAAAACCAGGACTTTTTAAGGAAGTAGCAACGAAAATACAAATTCACGGATGTCTGTCGGTTCTGGCAAATTGCAAGGTCCCACCCTGAAGAGATAGCTGAGGACTGTCTCAGCGAGTGTTCGACCCGTGCAAGAGTAAGGCTGCATAAAAAGCTTCATCAAACATTCCTGCATACTACCACCTTTTTAGAATGCGGCCGCCTCTGCTTATACATAAGTCAATTTAACGATATTCATTAAAACGGCTAAACACTTTCAAACGGGCTAAGTATTTTGCTTATTGCCTAACAACAGAGTGGCAAACCATTCTAGCCAACCCACCCTAGATAAGCAAATTTTTTCTCAAAAATTAGTATTTTTTATTGCCACGCATATTGCCTGCTTCAGCCTTCGTGACGATTATACAGAAGTGTGTGTCATTTGAATAAGCATTCATCTTCCGACGCATATATTTTATCTGGTACATTTCATTGGCAGTCACTTAGCCACACGCTTCTTCGGAATATTCAATGAGCCCTCATGAATTGCAAATCATATCTGCTCAACAAGTGTCAAGCGCATATACTACATACATATAAGTACGAGTACAAACATATGAATTAGGGCTGGGACTATCCGTATATTCGGATACCCGGTTAATATTCGTTCTATTTTGTTATCCGGATATCTAATAAATGTTCCAGATATTCTAAACAATATTTTAACGGATTCTTATTAAAATTACTGAATCTACGGAGTTGCAAAATAAATAACACAACACTAACACACATGTAATTGTATTTTTTTTGTACCTATTGTAATTTATTTTATCTAGTCATTTAATTAAATTTACTTTAGTTTTATCATTTTATTTGATTTCATTTCATTTCACTTCATTTCGTTTCATTTCATTTCATTTCATTTCACTTCATTTCGTTTCATTTCATTTCATTTCATTTTATTTCATTTTATTTTATTTTATTTTATTTTATTTTATTTTATTTTATTTTATTTTATTTTATTTTATTTTATTTTATTTTATTTTATTTTATTTTATTTTATTTTATTTTAT